AAATATATATATATATATATATATATATATATATATATATATTTATATCTACATATATATGCTAATATACGGTGAATGACTATATTATAAATATATCTTACTTGACTGACATCGATCTTTGGAGAATGAAACAAAGAACCGAACCACTTGACTTTTGAAGGAAAGGCATCCTGCGTAGATTAGCTAGAGGCGTGCTACGACTAGTGATATATTTTAGGGCAATTGTGCGAAATAATATTTTCCCCTATGGAATGCGGCTATGCAAAACACGAATAATGTTTATACTGTTTTTGTATCAGATAATTTTGGTCCCTGCACGTTATGCTATTTTCTAAATCTGGCAACCACCCTTGTTAAAATGTCAGTAGGTTAGCCCTTACATACCTCAGTGACAACTGATGTGAATCCATCGACATATTTCCATGCTTCTCTTGGCATGTCACATCTGGCTCCATAATTATCACTTGTCAATCCAATTGGTTCAGTAAAATTACAGATAGAATTGTTATATGCTTTCACACACATCCAATCTGGTTCTGCTGTTATGAATGTCACGATCATTACTTGAAGTGCAAGAGTAGCGAATTCTACGTAACCAACTATTCCGAGAAGTATGAATTGGTATCTTCCAAAACTCCCAATCTTTTCAAAGATCTCGTCAGTTGTTAACGCCATTCCGAGATACAGATGTGCTTCTTAGTCATATAAAAAACATATAATTCAAACATGAGTTCTTTTGAATACCAAAATGAACCTTAGGTGCACTCTAAAATACAGTGGTCAAAGTGTTCTGGTTAATAGCCTAGAAATAACACTATTTATAGGTTAACTTAATATTCCTTTCTATAGGCTACCTCCTCGAATTTAATCCTGCGGGGGCAATAATATACAACTCAGACACAGTGGCGAGTCTGTTCAACTTCACTCTCTGCGTGGCGCCAAACAGATTCAAATTACCTAAACATACAACAGACTGAAATAATTGCCGTTTAAAAACGGTATCTGCAAGCCCTATTAAACACTGTTCAAAAACTCATTAATAATTCATGAACCAATTATCCAATCTTGAGTAAGAAATTAGTCACGTGCATACGTCTTTATACCAGCTAAAGAACACTTTAACAAAAGACCATTGTTATGCAAACTATATAAAGATTTTTATATAAAGATTTTTATATAAAGATTTTAATATAAAGATTTGACTTATTATGCATACGTTTTTGAAGCCATTTAAAAAACTCGCAGGTCGTGTTTTATTAGGTCTAAAGCCACTCGCGCTGCGCGCTCGTGGCTTTAAACCTAATAAAACACTCCTGCTCGTTTTTTAAGTAGTACTTAAAGCACTATGCGATAAACTAAGAAACCAAAATATATATATAACCAAACTATATATATATATATATATAACCAAACTATATATATATATATATATAACCAAACTATATATATATATATATATATATATATATATATATATATATATATATATATATATATATATATATATATATATATATATATATATATA